TCCCAGCAGGACCAGCTACGTAATTTGCCAGTCCCAGTTAAGATTGCCAGAGACAGTTAAATTTGAATTTCAGATATATAATGAATAATTTTTAATATAAGTAGATCCCAAATATGGCATAGGACCTACCCCCTCCTCTCTTTCAGTTACTTTACAGAGGAAATAAACCATCTGACAGGACGCTCCACTTCTCAGTCCCACACACTCCCCCCATCTGCATCCTCTTTGCCTCTTCCCCACCCGTTCCAATGGGAGCCATGTCCCTCCCTCAGACAGAGGCCCCTCTCCATCTGAGCCCCGAACCCACCCTCTCCTGCCTTCTCAGGTCTCTGCACTATTCATTACCCATCTCTTCTCTGTATCTTCAACCTCTGGTCCACCAGAGGTCTACTTCTCACCAGCAATTAAACACGCTCGAGTCTTCTCCTTTTTTTTTTTTAAAAAAACTTTCCTGGATCTTCACAAATGCTTTCCCTTCCCTTCACACTCAGGTATCCTGAATGCGTTATCACAATCCCTCTGCTTTCCCATCTCCCAGTGTCCTGTCAACTTCCTGCTGTCTGGCTGTCACCTCCAGCATTCTATGACAGGCTCCCGCTGCAAGCATCAATCACCTTCTTGGTACTCACTTCAAGTCTTATCTTTCCCTTCTTCGTAAAGCTCTCTTCCCTTGGCTTTACTGACACCAAATTCTCCTGGCTTCTTCTATTTGAGGCTGTTTCCTCTGTGCCCCTTTTCCTTATGTACTGAGTTTCTGAGGCTCTGTCCTTGACTCTCTTTTCACATGTTACACACTCACCCACAGAGGAACCCAGAGGTTCCGCATGTAAAGAAGCCCACATCTCTCTAGCCCAGACTTCTATGCAGAGTTTTAGACTCTAATGTCTACAGGACAGCTCCACCATATCTCCTTGAACTCACTATGTCCAAAATCAGACTAAACAAAGGGAAAAAAAAGTGAACTCATTCTCCCCACCTCCTCACCTGGCACCACCTCCTGTTACATCTGAACAGCACATCCACTAACCCATGTCCAAGCCATAAACTCAGGTGTCATCCTTGCTTCTTCCTTCTCCTTCACCTTTATATCACCAAATCCTGTCAATTCTGTTTCTACATATCTCGTGATTGCATTCAATCCCCCCTCTCTCCCCATTTCAGCCACCACTACCTCTCCCCTACTAGAATCTTTCAACAACTTCCTAGCCTCTGCCTGTTTCCAGTCTCGCCACCTCCTGTCTCCATCCAGCAGCCCCAGCTGCACACCCTCTCCAGCCCCACCCCAGCTTCCCCTACACCATATACCCAAGGTCCTCTCAATATATTTCAGTCCTCAGCCATCTTTTGCCTCCCTGCAGACTGCTGCACACGCTGTTGCCTGTGCCTGGAATGCTCTTTCCACACCTCTTTACTTCCTCAGTCCCCAACGTGGCCGATTCCTGTCATCAGCCATGGGAAGCAGTCAGGAGAGTGGTGAAGACGAATTGCAGTCAGGCTTCCTGGCTTCCAACCACAGTTCTACCACGTTCTAGGTATGTGACTTTAACCTTTCTAAGCTTCAATTACCCCTTTAGAAAAATGGGAACACAGTCTCGCTCCAAATAATGAGGTTTTGGTCAATGAGGGACTGCATTTATGACAACAGTCCCACAAGATTAGTAGCACGTAGCCTAGGTGTGTAGTAGGCTATGCCATCTAGGTTTGTGTAAGTGCACTCTATGATGTGTGCACAATGACAGAATCACCTGATGACACATTTCTCAGAACATATCCCTGTCATTAAGCGACATATGACTGTAACAACTGAGGAGATAGCGTTGGTTGATATCCAGCCATTTCCCTTTCTTCCTCACTAACAGAGCACTAATTTTGTTCAGGGGCTGTGTGCTCATTCCAGGGATTGCATCACGATTGGTACAAGTAAGTTATAGAAACCAACCTTCTTTTTCCAGTGATTAATTCTGGCCAATGAAATGTAAGAGGACTTCTGAAAAATACAGAACTACCCTTAGAACCAAGCAAGAGAGGCCCCTGCCCTGGGCCCCGTGCTTGAGCGGGTCCCACCTATCACAAACACACATGTAAAAGCTAATAAACACATGGCCACCTTTGTCACTGGGAGTCTCACAGCATGACCCTCAACAGCCACTTTGACGACTAACACCATTCAGGCCCCAGAGAAATACTTCACATCTCTTGCCCTAGGTCCTCAAAACAAAAGGCAACTGCATTCAGCTGAGAAGGTTTGTAGATTGTGCTTTGCGGCCACCAGAGACCAACACGGCCGTGGAGTGTGGGCAAGGCGAGTGGCAGGAGCACTCAGGTAAGAGAGAAGACAAACGAGCTTGTCAGATCCCTCCTCAGCACCAACGCAACACATTCTTGCAAAATGAAGTATAGGAACTCAGGAGTGCGGAATATCCATTTTCTTGCTACTGTTCCTGTTCATGGTTCCACAAATTAGTGCTATATTAGCACCAGTTGCACAAGATGGCTGAAGAACATTTTGCAAAACTATATCATCTCGCATATATATGTGCCATATGCAGATACACATCTCACATATATATGATATATATTTGATGTCATACTTTATGAATTACTTTACATAACTCTTTATTTTGGAAATGAAATGAACATTAAGACTAACTGCGGACATTAAATTTTTAAAAAATAAAACAGATTTAATTTTTAAAATATTAAATGATTTTCAGCTTTTAAACAATTTTGATTCAAATTTTAACATTAATTATAAATTGTATTTTGCCTTTTACTTTTAACAGATAAAATTTGAGCATTTTAGAAGAAAACAGCTTGTTAAGATAATTTGAAAATTCTCTCATTTGAATATAATTGTGAATTTTGGTAATTTTGCATATAAGTTTAATACTCTTATGTTTGTATTTAAAACCAGCCATGCACAATATAAAGATAAATGGTAAAATTCATGCTAATAATTTAATATTTTAATTTTTCTTTACTTAGAACATTAAATAACAAATTTAAAAAATACCATGACAAGTCAAAAGAAAGTAAAAAGCTTTACATTTTAGTACCTTAAGTGGCACTTTTTTCCTGCTTTTTGAACAAGGGGTCCCACATCCTCACTTTGAATTGGGCCCCACAAATAATGTAACTGGCCCTGACAGTAGAGCAGAAAGAAAGAAAGAATCTGAGTCCTTGATGTCACTGGTGAGCCACTGCCAACCTCAGGTCCACCCACTCCAGATTTCTTGTTTAGTCAACAATAAATGCCATTCTCATTAAAGCCACTGTCAGGTGGGATTTCTCTTATTTGCTGCCAAAAGCATTCCTAACTAATAAAATACTATCCACCTTAGGGTTGTTAGAAGGGTTAAATGAGGTAAGTCAAGCGGTTAGCAAATAGCTGTTTTGACCACTTACTCTGAGCCAGCACAATTTTAAAGATGGAGCTCTTGGAGCAGTGCCTGGCGCATAGTAGGGTGCCATGTAACTCACCATCCCAGCTGGGCACTTTTCAGAGTCAAAGGGTACAAATAAAAACAAAGAACCAACTAAGAGCAAACACTCAAACGTTAGGTTTTCTTATTCATGGTTTAACTTAAACATCACTTCTCCAGGGAGGTGGTCCCAATTCCCCGAGTCTGCATGAGGGGCCCACAGCACCCTTTACGTCCTCTGCCACAGCAGTCCTCACAGCATACAGCTCAGGAGCATTTCACCAGTCCATCCACCTCACCAGACTGTAGTTCCAAGAAGGTGGGGACTGTGTCTATCCCGTTCTCCACTGTGTCCACAGGGTCTCACAAATAGTGGGCGCTCAGTTAATAGTTGCTGAATGAATTAATTTGGTCTATCGTGTGCATGCTTGCCTGACCGTGGCGATTCCACTATGCATTAAAGGCTCTAATATTTGCATTTGGGTTCTGTGCGAGCGGAACCTGTATTTTACTCACTGACGTGTGCCTGAAGTCCTGTCAGTGCCCAGTAGGTCACAGTACTCAAGCAGTGTTTGCTGCTCTTCCAGCATCCTTTCCAATGGCCAGATAATGCCAGTGGGGATTTTAACAGAGAGGGAAGGAGAACCTAGGGCTCCCTTCACACTGTATCTAGTTATCTCTAGTTCTAGAAGTTAGGAGTGAAGAATCAAGATGAGAGAGCCCATCCTAGCTAGGCACATAGCCCATATTTCTCTCTTATCAAATGATTTTTAAACTATGTCTTTCTTGCAGAAGCATGCATGTATCTCACGAGATGAGCCGTCTTATTTAGTTTGCCGGCCACAGCTCTCCGGATCAGCTGGAACCTGAGCACACTGCCAACAGCACCTTTCTCTTCTCTTTGCAAGTCAGCTGTTGCTTCAGGAAACCAACTCTGCAGAACACCCTTCAGAAACAGCGTGCCAGAGCCAGGCAGTGGGACTGAAACAGACCAGCAATCCTGGCAACAGTCTCTTCAGCCAGACCTGGGAGTTCACAAATCCCCTCCCAAGAGGGAAGAGACCACCCCAACAAGGCTCCATCCAGCACCAGAAAGGACGGACAGTTAGAAGGAAAACACGGAGGCTGCTCTCTTCCTGTCCTTTCCTTCTCACATGCAATCAACCCGCGTTCCCTTTGGGGAACAGACAAAACGGCAGCAGGCAGTTGGGGTGGCCACCCTAGCTAATTACCGCCATCCGCTCCACCGGCAGAGCCCCCTTCCGGGTTCAGGGGAAGGAGAATCGTGCACTGGACGTTAGTCAGCAAAAAGGACCAGCTGTGGTTTGGGGGCTACGATCATACCAGCCATCCAGCTGCCCACAGTGGTGTCAGGGACATCACTCTACCAGGCACCCTGCTGCAGCCAATAAAATGTATCACGGCCCACTTTACATCAGCACTCCTAAGGTCTCCAATGCAGCCAACCCAACAGAACAGAAATGAGGGCAAAAATCGTGCAAACACTTGAGTTGCTCCCGCAAGACATCAATTTTTTTCCCCACATTGTGCACCCAGGATTTCAGAAATGCCTCTTACCTTTCAGTAATCAGAGCCTCTCTCTCCATCTGTTAGGGGGTCCTTTTTCTTTCCTCCCTCATTAACACACATGTCACTGGAGCAGCGATTAAATCTAAAATGAAATTTTTAGTTAATTAGCTATCTTTGGACTTAGAAGAAGCCTTTGCAACGAAAAGAGGATTCTTTCTGAAACTTTGTGGATTTTTCTCCCTGACCCCTGATACCTTAGTTTCCTACTTTACAGGACTTATTTTCTTTAAGTTAACTTCACTAGATAAAACAAAAAAAAAGAAAGAAAGAAAAAGAACAAAAGAAAGAAACATTTCTGGCTGTGGGAGGGGGGAGCGGCAAACAAGCAAATACAGTGAGGCCCCCCTGACCCCCATCTGTTCCAAATCTTCCCCTCACAGGATGTAATGTCTAAAAAGCAAGAAAAATATTCCTTCCTCTTCCAACATTCAGCAGGATCTTGCATGCAAAGAGAAGAATGTCTGGTTACTCTGTGGGTTTTCATCTGCTTTTTAACTCACATGTTGCCAAATTACACTGGCCCCTCAATCCCATTTCCCCCTTTCCCCCCAAAAAAACCTGGTGCTATACAGCCGCCAGGCAACAGGGTTCACCACTAGTAAAGAACAGCCTGGTTCTGGCAAGCAGCTCCCTCCACTCCACACCACCAAACCCTCTGGCACAAAGGATTAGTTCTAAGCCTGGCCAATGACTTTTGCAGATTTCTTAGCTGAAGACATGCCAGAGGGATGCTTGGGCCCCCAGAGGAAGTGGGGCCACCCCCGAGGGTCAAAGGAGTGGGCTCAGAATCCCGAACTTCTTGTTCTGCGCTCTCATCCCCTGCTTCCAGGCACTCTGCGCACGCATGTACACACGCAGCCAACCCCTGGACATCTGAACAGGAAGGATGTCCCCCAGTAGCTCGCAACAGCCGTCACTGATGCCTTTCCAGGACTGGGAGGGCGGTATTTATAGGAAGGGCAGCCGGCCAAGCCAGACCAGCTCCAGCTTTATTTCAACCAACCCTCCTTTCCGTCTTCTGTAGTTCTCCTTCCAGTTAAATGAAGAGGCCTTCCTCCCTTTTTTGCTTCATTTTTACGTAAGAACGGAGGCTCTCATTAAAATGACTTAGAAACCCTGAATGCAAAGATGGAAAAGGATCTGCATGATCTCCCCATGCCCCTTTGGCTCTTAAGCTCCCTCTTCTCTGCCCTCAGCCACCTCCACCTCCACCTTCTTAGGCCCCCTTGCTCCTTGGCACATGCTCCTTCTTTATGCCTGGGCAACACAGAACCCCTTGTGGTCCTCCAGAGGAGCAAAGCTCTCTTACCTTGAGTCCAAACTGTCCTTCCTTCCAGCCCTCTCACCCCTTATCACATCCTACAAGGCCCTGTATGATCTACCCTCACCCACACCCTCCTCTGAACTTATTTCCTAGCATTCTTCCCCAACAAACGACCCCCTCCTTGCTTTTGCTCAGACACACCAAACACACCTCAGGGCCTCTGCACCTGCTGTTTCCTTTACTTTAGATCAGCTCCTCCTGTGGTGTTTGAAAGTGGGGCTCCCTCACATGCTCTAGATTTCTGCCTGAAAATTACCTCCCTAGAAAGGCCTTGCTAACAGTGTCTACTAAAAAGCACCATCACTCTCTAGCTGCTCTGTCCCATACCTGCTTTATTTTAATTCAAAGCACCTTTCACCACCACCAGACTCTCTCCTTCACCAAACTTTAGTCAGGCTCCTCTGAGCATTCTTCTCAACTAGGCCCCGACCTTGGCCTCCCCTCTGCAAAGAATCCTGATAAACCATCCCCTACCCTTGATATCTGATCAAGTTTCTCATCCCTCATCTTGGATGTCTAAGTCCTTGGCCTGCCTTTTGCAAGAATCCTATAAAGTTAGTTTAGAAGAATCCCCCTACCCTTGACGTCCCCTCCATCCACTGACCCCCTCATTCTGTTTCTTGGTTATAAATCCCAGCTGTCTTTGCTGTATTCAGGGCTGAGCTCAATCTCTTTTCCCAATTGCAAAAGTCTTGAGTAAAATCTTCCTTACCATTTTAACAAGTGTCAGAATAATTTTTCGCTAAGACCACCTGACATCATATGATCTTTTCATTCGTCTGTCTCCCTCCACTGGACTGTAAGCTCCACAAGGGCAGGGTCTCTCTGTGTTTTGCTCTCCTCTAGCTCCTTGGCTTCTAGAACAGTATCTGACACACAGCAGACACTCAACAAATATTTGTTGAACAAACCTAGCCACCTCTACTTGTCTCTTGGTGTCAGTTTACCTGCCACTCCCTCTGGGAAGTCATTCCTGAATCTTCCAAGGCTTGACCCTGTGCTTCACCCAGCAACGATCATACTGATCACAAACGATATTTCTCCGGTTTGATTAATATGCACTTTTGTTAATTATACACAGTCATGCATCAATTAACAATGGGGACACGTTCTGAGAAATGCGTCCTTAGGCGATTTCATCGTTGTGTGAACATCGTAGAGTGCACTTACACAAACCTAGATGGTATAGCCTACTACCCACCTCAGCTATATGGCACTAATCTTATGGGATTACCGTCATCTAAGTCTGTTGTTGACTGGAACGTCATTATGTGGCATACGACTGTGATATACTATACAAAATAAAGTCTAGAAGTCTATCTTGACCATCGGCTCTCCTTCCTTTCCACACCTCCACAACACCCCATGTCCAGTCCGTTTTCTCCATAAATACATCCATGCACCTATCTGTTCGCATGTCTCCACCCTCCCCTCCCCCATCACATACACATTGCCTAACCCTTAGCAGGGGCTTAATTAAAATGAAGCAGAAAGAGGAGCCCTGGTGGGGCCAAGAGCCAGCTCACTGCTCTCCAAAACCAAGCCCATCTTTGCCCCCATCTTCCTGGCTTTCTCCACCCACAGGAGGAAGGACACCACTTCTGTTGGCTGACCTGCAAGAGGGAGATGGAACCCACAGGACCAGCCACTCTCAGCTCACTTCTCTACTCCCTGCAAACTTAAAAGACCAGTACAGGTCAGAGTGAGCGGCCAGAGCCCAACTGGCTCAAAGCTGTGATCCTGGAGGGCACGAGTCTGGGAAAGCCATGGTGGCCCTGGACCCTGGTGGTTGGTGAATTCCAGCCACTTAAAAGCTTGGGGGAGGGGCCACCAGGGAGGAGGGAAAGCTCGGTGTAGAAACCGCCCAAGAAGGTTTCCACATAAAGGAAGAGTAAACAGATGAAGGCTCTTCCTCAGCCCTTTGAGCCTCTCAGAGGAGAGCAAACCTTCAAGTGTTTGTTGAAAAGCTAATCCGATTTAAAAATGCTTTGAAAGGGCTAGAAGAGGAAGTATTGACTACTGACCACCCCCTCCACTGGCCTGCGGCCCTAAGCGTCGTCACTTTCCCCTCCCTTGGCCTCGGTTTTGGGGGTACTGCACATACAGAGACCCAGAGGATCAGGAAGGTACCTGGGGCAGAAGCAGGAACCAACCCTCATCCACTGAGGGCTATCAACGACTCTGCCTGCCAAGAAATAAGGCTTCTTGAGAGGAGAAAACTGGCCAGTACTGGAACGGGTTCCATATAGCCCTCGCTCCAAGGCAAGCTCACTCCACCCACACCCTAGGAATCTGGAAGATACTGACGTGCCCTGCCCTGCTTGCTGGGAGGCACTTAATGATCTCCCCTACCCCATCCCCACCCCACCCCAGGCAGGTCTCATTTCTGGCCGCCAATTCACTCCCTGAAGTTCCAGATGAAATGAATTTCCAAGAGGATTTGCAGAACAACAATTAAAGCAAAAGCGAACCCTCCTCGATTACTCCAGATTCTGGTGCTCTCCCTTGGACAATGTTACGAGATCATGTCATGGACTACGATCATGCTAGAGTGACCACCCAGCCGAGGTTGCCAGGGACTGTTCTGGCTTTAGCACTGAAGATGCCGCATCCCAGGATGGTTGTCACCTGTCACTGCAGCCTCCCCAACCTTCTCCCCTTCTATTTCTGCTGTTCCAGGTAGGCATGTATATTGGGAAGGCGGGCTTCCTGGTATTGCCCCCTAATCCTGATGTCCTGGCTGGGTTTTAGAGGAGAGGAAAGTGGTGAATCTACAAGTTGAATTAGTTTCTTTCAACGAGAGGCTTTAATTTAAAAAGAGGGAGATGGATAAGAATAATCCCAAACACTCAGCACTTTGTCTGCTGTATATACAATGCCTTGTCTAATTTAATCCTATGAGGTAGGTACCATTTCCCAGATCGGGAAACTGAGGCCCAAGATCGCAGATAATAAATAGTAGGGATGGGATCCCAATCCAGGCAGTGAAGCCAGGACCCACAGACTTATTCACTATCTCATACTGTGATCCTTACAGATGAAGAGTCCTTGTCATTTTCATCACAGAGGACAGAAACACGGTGACAATAAGTCTACTTATGCTAGACTGAAAAGGCATAAATTTACATATGTGGAGCAACTCACCAAGAAAACGGGATTGTGAGACTGCGACCACAGGTTCTCCTACGGATGGGACCCCTAGTTGCCGTGGGGAGAGGGCCAGGTTCATGGACAGTGATGGCAGCACTGCCCTGGTGCACAGCCTCATGACAGTGCCCCCTAACACTGACCCTGCCTCACGCACCCACCCAGCGGCTGCCAGAGGAACCCATTAAAATCCCAAATCTGATTGTGCCCCTCCAACCCTGTCTGACGCCCCAACAGCTGCACTGCGCTGTAAAGTCCAGGCCCCTCAGCCGGAGTCTCATCCATTGCCTTGAAACCCAAGTGGAGGCCAACCTCACAGGAACCGGTTTGGCAGGATAGGTCACAACCCTTGATAAAGGTTCATGCCCTTGCACTCTATAATCTCCCTTCTAAGAATTTCCCCAAGGAAACGGCTTTAACTGGCAGGGATTGGGAGAAGGCTTTAACTGGCAGGGATTGGGAGAAGGACGGTGACGTTTTACATACAAAGGTGTTCATACATAGGATTATCTGGAACAATGGAACCGGGAATAATTCCTATAGCTAACAATAAAGAAATGATTAACTAAACTATGATGTAGCTGATATAGCCATTCAATTGGATATTATGC